AAGCTGCTTCTATTGTACGTCTAAAGTATTATCGTGCCTCTACCCCCTCTACCCTTGTCCCATCCTGCGTGCCTGTTCTCTCTTTAGGCAGGTTGCCAACCGGAATAAGAAGTGTCAACTTTGGGGGTTTCTTCACACCCTAAGTCCGACCGGAGCCTACGCTACTATCTGATTTAGCTAATCAAACAGAGCCAAAAGTGCAAGGTCATGGTGCTCCTCGTCCTTGGGCGTTTTCTTTTTATGCCGGCCAAACCAATCGGGGATATGAAATGCGCCAAAATCCTGCGTTTTTTTTTTTTTTTTTTTTTTTTTTCTGTAAGGGATTGGTGTCGCCGTTAATCACAAATACACTAAGACGACGAGCGGCATGAAAATCTGCTCTTGGCACCGTTTCATTGGCTTTATCTGTCCCTAGCGTCGGCTCCGGTCGTGCTTCGAGTGAGACGGATTTATTAGAACACATTTATTAGAAAAAAATCCGTAAAAGATAACTCACCTGCACAAACCGTATTACGGTTTGTGCAGGTGAGTTTTATGGCCAGGGGGACATTATGGGAGTCGCTAATCTTTGCCATAAGTCTAATAATTAACTAAAATTCGTTAAATAACTTTTTAATTAGTGAAAAATAGACATAGTTTCAATTAGAAACTTAATGAGCGTCATCGAAAGCCACAAAATCAACTCCTTTTAGAACGACTTGAAGCTCGTGGGATACTCTGGGGCGCTCCAAAGTTACCACTTGTGTAGCAGGCGGTAAGCTAGCAGTGGCGGAACGCGGATGATTAGATTATGATCGCGTTTTGCCACTGGTAACCTTGCGACAGCTGCACGAGTGGTAACTTTGGTGCGCCCCAACGTTTCCCACGATCATCAAGCAGATGAACTTGCGCTCCGCAAACTGTTCTGCTCACTCGAGGGCGCGTGTAGCTTCTTGAGTTTTTAGTGCTCCTGAACTGTGGCCACCGAAGTAATTACCAAAGTAACCTTGTGGTAACCGAAGTAATAGAGAAGGGAGAAGGGCAATTGCCCCCGCTTCCGAGTCTACGCCACCTATTGGCTACTGCGAGAAGCTGTGACGTTGTACGCCTGCTGCGCTGTCCACTGATGCGTTACGATCCGCCACGTGACTTCGTGAGCACATAGGCACCTACGCTTCGTCATTCAGGAGCCAGCTGCGCGCGCCGGTGGCCACCCGTTCCGTGAGTCATACTATACTCGTTTTAACCTTAAAAAAAAAAAAAAAGTGGGTGTGTCCCTCTCGTCGCATGCTTATTGGTCGCATGCCGTCGCACATATTCCGTTCTGCGAAGTAGTTCCGATAAACGTTTGCTCTCTGGGAAGCTAGCGTTATTTAAGCTTAAATAAATTTGTTATTCTCAGTAGGATGAATAATAGACCTCCTTAGTACGCGTGTATTCACGTAATTCAACGCCTCACAAGATCTGAGGATCGATGTTCGTAGCCAGCCGGCCAGCCGCTGTTGCTCGCCTTCCAAAATGGCGATTCCAACAACTCCGGCTGATCGGTCCGTGATGTCAGCACTCTTTCCTGAAGACGTTTCCCCTCTCGTGTACTACAAACATCACGCAAGTGGAAATGTCCTGTCGAGTCAGACAAGGCAGTTTGTTTTGAACGTTTATTCTTGGATGCGGCGGCAGTACCAAGAAAAAAATGTGGTGGAAGTCGTCAGTCTGACTGCCGCCGCAACGGGGATCAGTGTTAGCTCGGTCTACGAGATCAAACGTGGCTTCAAACGTGCCAACGGAGCTGTGAAATCTCCTTCAAAGAAGTGCTCGAAATTCGCTGAGAAAAAAAAAGAGGATTTCAAAACACGACGCGTGCACTTCGACGGCCGTGAGAAGCTGCCCGCACAATTTCTTCCGTCGTGGGGAGATTCCAACGTTGAAGAAAATCGCCGCTCGTCTCCAAGAAGACGACGTGCTGCCGTCCTGTTCCGGGTCTACCCTGTATCGCCTGCTGAAGGACATGGGTTTTGAGAAACAGAAACGGAATCGCAACTCCTTCCTAATTGAGAGAGAGGACATCGTCGAGTGGAGGCGGCGGTATTTGAGGGCAATCGGAAAGCACAGAGCCCAGAACCGCAAGATCTACTTCCAGGACGATACTTGGGTGAACGCCGGCCTTACAGTTGACAAGGTGTGGACTGACAGCACCATAAAGTCAGCAAGGCGAGCCTTCATGTCTGGACTGACGACCGGGCTAAAGATTTCTTCTGGAAAGGGTGAAAGAGTGATTGTAACCCACGCAGGTAGTGACACTGGCTTCGTGTCCGGCTGCCTGGACGTGTTCCGTGGGAAGAAAAAGGGGGACTACCACGATGAAATGGACTCGAACAGGTTTGAAGCATGGTCTCTTCATCTGCTGGACCACATCAAGCCTAACAGCGTAACTGTTATAGACAATGCGCCATACCACAGCAGAAAGGCTGAAGCAGTTCCCACAACTGCAACAAAGAAGGCCGAGATCCAGCAGTGGCTCTCTTCCAAGAACCTAGACTTGACTGCCACAATGAAGAAAAAAGACCTACTGGGCATCGTGGCAACGGTGAAGGATCGCTACACAAAGTACAAAGTTTACGTCATGGCTACGGACGCCGGACGCACAGTGTTGAGGCTCCCACCGTACCATTGCGAACTAAATCCCATAGAGTTGATATGGGCACGAGTCAAGCAGGAGGTAGCCTCCAAGAACATCCCATTCAAGCCCAATGACGCCGAGCGGCTTTTGAGGGAAGCAGTGGACAACGTAACAGCTGTCCATTGGCATGACTGTGTAGGGCATCTGAAAAAATGGAGGCGAAGTTTCGAGAATGTGATGTCCCAGAGTCGAACCTCGAGCCAGTCATCATACCCCTCGATGCAGGCGACACGGAGGAGGAGAGTGGAGACGACGACGAAGCTGACGACGAGGATGAGGGTGAAGAGATCTTCGGTGTTCAGCCTTTAGAATGGAATTGACCGTGAACTAATGTCCCCCTAGGATGTGTTCTCTTCTGAAAGTGGCTAGAACTTTGGACTCTGTTTGTCATACCCCAGAACACAGAGCGGTCCTTTTAAGGACAATTCACATACTGCAAAATCGGATTCCCGACTTTATACACGCCTAACCTCCAGTGTCATGTTGTTGTCGTGATTCTACCTTTCATTACGTAATAGCCTTGTTCATGGCTTCTCGAGGTTTCTGAAATCAGCTGTATGTATCCCACCGCACCGTGGATAACCAGTACAAAGATTTACCCTAAAAAAAAAGTTTGCAGTTGTACTGCACTCGCTAATTTGCCAATCTACAGCAGAGGTGTCAGGCGCCATTTTGCCTTTTTGCTTTCTAAACATATATGCATACAATTACACTTTAAGGGTCGTTTTCATTCAAGAAAGAAGACGTAGCGTTGGCGGCATGCCGAAAGTGGACCATTGTTCTGGAATGTGACCCTGAGCGTAACAATTCACTTGCTCACCTCATGCAAATTCAGTGTCGCTTATACCTAATTTGGAGGTCTAAACGTCATGTTCAGCCCAGTCTTTCATTGAGATAGCTCTGTTATTTGCAGTGATCAGTTCCCCAGGCGGTTTGTGGGAAGGTAAACTCACAAGCTGCCATCCACATGCCTTGGGGTCGCTCTGGCAATAAACGTATCTCTCATCCACCATGCTGTTTCAGATTATAATCGGGATTCTTATCGACCATCCTCACACAGGGCCACTCGGGCAACAAGCAGAAGCTTTGATGGGATCCTGGAAGAACGTATCTCACATCAACCACGCTGTTTCTGCTTATAATCAGGATTTGTACCACCATCCCCATACCACGGAACTTAAGAAAACAGAATTAAAGAATAAGAATTGAAATTCACCGCGACACACAAGGAAACCGACTGCCCACTCAATATATACACATGAACGTCAGCGCAATAACGTAAACAAAGGTCTATTAGGAAAGAATAAACTATGCAAACATAGGTTAGTGGCTGGCAGTGGGTCTGATCAATCCCAGTTCATCAAGTTTGCGGCGATGTCGATGATGTCAGCTGATCTTTTTGCTTCAGCGCTCCATGGTTGCCGTTCAAAACTGCAAATACGCTAAACTGGCACATATTGATTTTTTTTCTCATGGTGGCTTTAGAAAGCCGACGGTATAAACAATGTTAGATATACAAAAATATGTTTATTGAAGACAGTTTAAAGAAGCGATGCAAAATTGTGCAGAGCATAAGCATGTTTATCAGAAACGAACGCTATTTAACAAGGTATGTTCTAGCTTTTTGCCACAAGAGGATGCTGCAGTGCTAAATTCGTTTTGGTTTCGGTCTCTAATTGTAGATCCCACCACCTCCCCACGGAGAGTGGTGAAGTCTACGCGATATCGCGGCATTTCATTGGTGGAAACCCAGAACACTCCGATACCAGCCGGACTTGTTTTACTTCGGTTCTTAAGGTGAAAATAAGTATAGGTCCATGCTCCTTGCTCTTGTACTATTTGAGCGTGTTGGTGCTTTTTAACCATTTAGAAAGTGGAGACACATAAGAGACGATACAGACAGGACAATGTCCTGTCTTTATCGTCCCTTATGTGTCTCTGATTTCTAAATGCTTGCTCTCCCTTTCGCCTCCTCCTTGTGGTGTCAGGCGTGTGGTGTCAGGCGAAGCCGTCGGGCTGCGGATCGCAAGGTCCGGGGTTCGATTCCCGCTGTGACACTTGGTAAATCTTGATGGATGCGATTCATTATAACTAATTACGGCTAATTATGACTAAGTATGCCTTCTCTTTGAATACTTGTGCATTCCCTGTTATGCCCTTTTTATTCATTCTGTTGTCATGACCTGCATGTAATGCTTTTTCTTCTCACTCGAGCGTAAGACTATTCGAATAAGATTAAATTCATAAAAACATTTTGTGTTAATGTATATATTCTATAGGGGCTTTCATGCATAATATTAGATTTTCGATATAAATCGACAATTTTTGTGACCTATTTCAGCTGCGGTCATGTCCGAAAAAATCATCGAAGACATCGTACGCTTTTCATACCGAAACAACCTCATCATTCTAGCGGACGAGGTTAGTCTATTCTCTATAGCACTTGACTCATTTCATTCCACGAATGCCCTCGCAGACCTGTATGTGTAGAGATTGTCATAACCCAGGAACCTAACTGTGTATTCGTAAGTAACTCCTCTTTTGCAAAATCAATATTATATTTAAACAAACCTTATTTAAACGAACCTTTATTTCGAAGAGATTTATTAGAAAAACTCAGTAAAAGATGCACTAATACAGTTTGGGCAGGAAAGTTTTACGGCCAGGGCTAATTTTTGTGATCAGTCGGGTAATTAACTAAACTTCCTTAATTCACTTTTTAATTAGAAAAATAATCATATGGTTTCAATTGGAAACATGCTGAGCATAATCGAAAAACACTATATGATTCCATTTTCGAACGACTCCGGGACGCACCAAAGTTACCACTCGTGCAGCAGGCGCAAAGCTAGCAGTAAGGGAACGCGATAATCTAATCATCCGCGTTTCGCCACTGCTAGCTTTGCGCCTGCTGCACCAGTGGCCAGTTTGGTGCGCCCCCGAGTTTCCCACGAGCTTCGAGTCGTTCTAAAATTCACTGGTATAAGGGATTTCGATCATGATCAGCATGTTTCTAATTGAAACCATATAAATATTCTTACTAATTCGAAAGTTATTAAGGAAGTTTAGTTAATTATACGGCTTATCGCAGAGTTTAGCCACCTATATGACGTACCCCAAACCGTATAACTCACCTGCCCAAACTGTATTAGTGCATCTTTTGCACGATTTTTTTTTCTAATAACTATGTTCGAATTAAAATGAAACACCCGGTATGCTATATACATGGCTTGCACATGACGTTATTCAAAAAGCACTCCGATGGCCACCAGGGAAGAAGGAGCTTGCCTGTTATCTTCTACCAGGACCCTACTTTGTGCCCAAAAGATTAGAAGAGAACCCGTCACTCGAAATTCCTAAAAACGCAGCTTCTCCCTCTCTCTCTTTCATGTTGGCCAAAAATAACTGATGTGACGTCAGTGCAAGCGATGTATGTATTCTGCGAACTGCCGCTAACCTTCAGACGATAATATATTGTTTTTTCTAGGTTTTTGAGCACAACGTCTACGTGGAGCGTGCTCCATTTCACAGTTTTCGTAAGGTTATGCACAAGATGGGAGACCCCTGGTTCAACACGCAGCTCATCACATTTAATTCAATGTCGAAGGGATTCATGGCAGAGTGAGTGAGGTTGATTAGACCTTTTCTAAAATTCGAAGCGCCCCATCGCGGCGATATACCACGTAGTGCACTCTGGGAACTATTGCCCACTTTGTGTCGGTTTCGATTGATCAGCTTCAGTTCTTGCTATCACACCATGCACTGCTTGCGTTTTAGAGCGCAGCTCTTAGGGGCCCGTTTCCGGCTTGAGCGGCGTCGGCGTCGCCGTCGGCGTCGGCGTAACCGCGAGGTCACGTGACCCCCCGAGGTCACGTGACCCCCCCCCCCCCGAGGTCACGTGACCCCCAGAAGTCACGTGACCCCCTGAAGTCACGTGACCGCCTTGAGGTCACGTGACCCCCTAAGGTCATGTGACCCTTCAGGTCACGTGAGCACATGAGGGGTCACGTGACCCCCGGAGGTCACGTGACCCCCTGAAGTCACGTGACCCCCTTGAGGTCACGTGACCTCAAGGAGTCACGTATCCCTCAGTACGCTTCCATCTTCCTCCTCAAGAGCTGCGCTCTAACCGGTGTTACAGGGAATTGTAAACGGCTTTCATTTTTTTGATTATCCGAATTCCCAGGAATGTACAATATTCTCATTCTCGAGTGGTAACGAAGGAAGAACGGGACACTTTTCTTAGTTGCCGACATGCCGGATATTGTGCGTGCGTATGCAAACGTAGCAAGGCATAACGTAATATGCTTAATGCAGATTGTATCTTTAAGCTCAATTTCAATAATCCTGTCTATTGCGGGTGAACCACAATTGCAATTTGCTCCCTTTGAGCCACACACGTGTAGCGACTGGCAACAAGGCGCCGAAGAAATTGACAAGCTGGCGCGTGAAATCCGGCTCGCGGTTCCAGCTGCTGGTTCGACGGACTTCAGCACCCGCCGGCGCAGTTACAAACGCCTCAGATTTCTAATTATGTAAATATTGTAAAATAAATTGGTTGAAGGATCGTAACCCCTCCAAGTGGTGACCCGAACTTCAGCAACAAAGGTAATGGCTCTGCCTGCTACCAAATCCACATCCACCGGAACCTGGGGGGCTATGTTGCGCTTTTTGCACTCCCAGGAGACTAGGGAGAGGGAAGTGACGTCAACAACGCAGCAAATGCAGATTGGATGTTGATTTTGTTTTCTTCTGTCAACATCCAACCTGCATTTGCTCTAGTCGCTGACGTCACTTCCCTCTTCCAAGTCTCCTGGGAGTGCAAAAAGCGCAACATAGCACCCCAGGTCCCCTAGCATCATACGAAACCTACTCCGAGCGCCTCCAGCTGGCAATCCATATGATAAAAAACCGAGTTAACTCGTAGGACAACAGAGTCTGAGCAACGACGTATTCAGCAGCTCCTGACCACAGAAGAGCTAAGTGACAGGAAACCTTCCAAGCTCCTCCGCAGAATGCAACAGCTTTTGAAAGACCGCGCCGAAACACTCGACGCGTCCATCTTCAAGGATTTATTCCTTCAGCGACTTCCTCAACAAGTTCGCATGATCCTGTCAACATTAGTGAAACCATTGGAAACCCTCGCCCAGACGGCAGATAAAATCATGGACGTTTCCAATCTTGGAATTTCTGCGTTTCAAAGAAAAAAAAAGCGCACCAGCAGCTGCTTAGTCACAAAGATCTCCCTCTCTGGAGGAGAAGTTTTTTCCGCTCCTTGAATCGAACATGAGACTTGCGGCCTTCAAGGTCATCCTCCCCGCACACATCCCGAGCACGTAGGCGTAGCACATATCCCGCGGTGCAAACAACAACTGGTGATGGTACCACCAATCATTTGGGCACGACGCCAAAAAATGCACCCCCCCCCCCCCCCCCGCCCCATGTGCGCTTCCGGAGAACACTGCGCCCACTCACTGAAGACGGCCAGTGCCGCGGGAACCGCAGTCAGTCTTGGGTAGTAACGCGTTACTAGTAACGCGTTATTGCAATTTCGTTACTTTTTTGGTAACTTGTAACTGTAACGAGTTACTTTTTTAAAATGTAACTTGTAACTGTAGTTCTATTATTTTTTTCTGACGTAACGATGAAAGTAACGACGTTACTTTTGTCGTTACTTTCCGGTGTTTTATGAATAATATATCACTGATCGAGTACAATTTAGATTTTCCTTGCACTTTTCAAATCGTCTATTCCGACATTTCGAGTGTCAAGTTGGCCTTTCACAAACCTGTGAATACGTTCTTTTTCACGAGTCACGACCCGAATATAGCCACGTGCAGATATCATAAGAAAAAAATCTAGTTATCTTTAGGCACGCGCCTGAACTTTGTGACTCAGCACTTACATCTTAGTGTCTTGAAGCACCATCTATTTAGTGGTTTTTCCTTTTTCTGTAAAAACGCTTTTTAATCCTTTGAATCAACCATGAAACAACAATACACGCGCAGGGCACTGCTTATGTTTCGTATTTTGATTAGCGCCAGTACTTCACACTGCGCATGTTTCGTATTTTGATTTGCGTGGCGAGGAAATTTTCAAACACTAATTTCGAAAAGCAACTTCTGCTAAGTTACAATATGAAGTAAAAAGCGTACTGTTTAATTTTATGCAATAAAACTTGGTGAGGGGCGTTTCCTACTTTTTCCTATTTTTTGTGTTATAAAAAAAGTAACTGAAAAGTAACGTCGTTACTTTTTAAAAGTAACTGTAACTGTAACGAGTTACTTTTTTGTTTCCGTAACTGTAACGGTAACTTCGTTACTTTTTTCTGAAAGTAACTGTAACTGTAACGAATTACTTTTTAAAAGTAACTTACCCAAGACTGACCGCAGTCAGCCGTTCCACCTCACTGATCGCCACACAAAAATCTAATAACTAGTCGACACCGGCGCCGAGGTCAGTATTATTCCTCCTACGCTGGAGGATCGTCGGCATCGACAACAAATTCAGCCGCTACAAGCGGTCAATGGATCGGCGATCAAAAGGTATGGACAAAGAGCACTAACCCTCGATCCCGGCCTCCGGTGCGTGCTCCGCTGGGTACTTCTGGTGGCCGACGTACGCTTTGCGATCATAGGGGCAGATTTTCTCCGTAACTTCAACCTTGTGGTGGATGTCAACCCGAAGGAAAAATCCATCAATGTAACCCTACTTGGCAGTCAATGTTTTCTAGTGGACCGCTGACTGTGCCTGACTGTACGTCAAGCATGTCTGATTGGCCAACAAGTTACTCTGACCGACAGTCAAACTCCAGTCAGACCACGCTTGTCGGCTTTCTGATGGTTTCCTGGTGGCAGTCGGCCGCCGCGAAATGCCATCAGGATGTCTTGGTGGTGATTCTGACTGTACATCGATTGTCTCTGACTGTACGTCAGAAAGCTTTGACGTGCAGACAGACGTACGGTCAAAGGACGTAAAGTTCGTTCGGATACCACTATTTCGTCAAATCTATGAATACGAAAAGTAATCTATGCACGAGAAAACGATTTTGGGACGTGAGCCCATAAAACCGCTGACGTTAGAGATATGACACGCAACCGACCGACAACCTTGATCAGAAGCCCGCCAAAGCGCCGAACACGACACTTCGCACTTCGCTTCGCCCATAGAGGCTTCGCCGAGCTTTCATGAACGATCGCTCTCGACTCGTTTTGTTTGCCCGCTTGCTCCAACCTGTCGATCCTGCCCGGGCTCTACAATGTCTTATGTTTTAGTAGAATTTCTACTCGACAAGACCCAGCCTGTTGTGAGTTCCGACGATGTAAGGGACTTAAGCGGTGTAGTTGAAGACGACAGGGTGTACCAGGTCTACTGGGCCGGTGATGCGCGAACAAAAGGATCGTTCTACGATGCGAAAGTACTGTACAAGGCAGGTGAGTAGAACTGAAGTACGGCGAGTGATGTACGACTGTTTCGCATAACATGCTGACGGCTTCACTGCATTTGCAGCCAAAGCATTTTGTATAAAACGAATAGTCAAATCGAGTTTCTCTAACGGTGGGGCGTAGCATAGCGGTTAAGGTGTCCGATTTGTACGCATGTGGTCGCAGGTTCGATGCGCGGTGGTGCTGCTTTTTTTTTTTTTTTCTCTCGAACTTTTTGTTTTATCGAGGCATTTGGCGATATTTATGAGTGCGTATAGCTTTACTCTTTATAAATGCTGCCCTTGTTGATGAAATTCCCTTGGCAGTGGCAGTCACACGTCATCTGATGGACCATCAGATGACGCCTGATGGTCCATCACGTTCCACCAAGGCTGCTGACTGGCAGTCAGTGTCCCAAATTACGTAGCTTGATGGAATTTTCAATAGGGAAGCGTCGACTTCTACTCAACTCGACAACGCACTTCAGCATCCAAGGAGTGCTCCCTAAGGCACCATTACTCAGCACTACCTTGCAACCTCTGCAGACTGCTGCTCCATGGCGAAACCTCCTGAAGGAATTCCCAACGCTAACGCAGCCATGCAACACCAAGGTTCCAGTCAAGCACACCATTACTCACGGCATTGACACCCTCGGATCTCCAGTTTTTGCCAAGCCGAAACGCCTCGCACCGGACAAGCTCAAGATTGCCAAAGACGAACTCGAGCACATGCTGGAACTCGGATTCCTCCGTCCATCATCCAGCATGTGGTCCAGTGCCCTGTACATGGCACATAAGACGTCTGGCGACTGGAGACACTGTGGGGATTACAGAGCCCTCAATAAGGTCACTGTACCCGATCGGTACCCAATCCCCCACACTCAAGACTTCGCTGGAATGCTGCACGCATCGACAATCTTCACAAAAATAGACCTTGTGAAGGCGTTTCATCAGATCCCAGTCGACCCATCTGACATTCATAAAACTGCCCTAACCACAGCTTTTGGCATGTTTGAGTATGTGCGCATGTCATTTCACCTGCGAAACGCAGCGCAAACGTTTCAGCGTTTCATTGTACAAGTCACACATGGGTTGACCTTCTGTTTTACCTATATCGATGGCATCTTAGTTTTCAGTAAAAACGACGAGGAACATGAACTCCACCTTCGCCAACTGTTCTTCCGCCTCCAGGAATACCGCGTCGTCCTGAATGCCGCTAAGTGAGAATTTGGCATTGCAGAGTTAGATTTCTTGGGCGCAGACCAACATGGCATCCGTCCTCTACAGCACAAAGTGAACATCATCCGAAAATTTCCGCAGCCCCAAACAAACAAGAAACTTCGCGAATTTCTAGGACTAGTCAATCTCTACAGGAGATTCATTCCAAACTGTGCAGCCATCCTTCAGCCACTCAACCAATACCTCACTGGAAATCCCAAGAAATCCATACCACTCGAGTGGAACGAAGCTGCAGTTAAATCGATTCAAACAATCAAGCACAAGCTTGCTGATGTTACGACGTTGATCCATCAGAAACCTGACGCACCCCTTTCCCTTGTAACTGGTGCCTCCGATGGAGCACTGGGAGCAGTACTCCAGCAGTTTACCGAATCCGGTTGGCAACCCCTTCCATTCTTTTCAAAACAAATGACGCCAACCGAATCACGTTACCGTACATTTGGGCGCGAGCTTCCAGCCGTTTACCTTGTCGTGAAACACTTTCGCCATTTTTTAGAAGGACGTCAATTTCACATCATGACTGATCATAAGCCCCTGACGTACGCCCTTACATCAAACAGCTCCTCATACACACCAAGGGAAATGCGGCAGATAGCCTACATTGAGGAATACACCAGCGACATTCGTTCCATAAAAGGAAAAGAAAACACCGTAGCTGACGCTCTATCTCGGATTGGTCTAAACAACGTCAACAACTCTCAGCCGATCACCAACTTTCAGGAAGTGGCTACTGCGCAACGACTCGAACAGGAACGTCTACATCTTCGCTCCTCCTCTACCGCACTGGTCCTGCAAGACATATATTCCTGAATGCGACAAAACACTTGTTTGCGACACTTCTATGAGCCGTCGTCAACCATACGTGCCGGCACAGTTCCGACGAGCCATTTTTGATGCCCTCCTCTCGCTCTCCCACCCTGGTACACGAGCGTCACAACGACTATACTCTCTCCAGCTACGGCTGGTCGAAGATGAAAACCGATATTGCATACTTCACGCAAACGTATTAACACTGTCAACGAGCCAAGATCCACCGCCACACTGTCACACCAAGTACCTTCCAGTTACCCGACGCTCGAATCAGCAACATCCACCCCGACATCGTCGGAACATTATCTTCGTCTCAAGACTACCGTTACATCTTCACATACGTAGACCGCTTCACCCGCAGGCCAGAGGCAACGCTCATGAAGGATGTGACTGTAGAAACAGTCGTACAGACATTCATCTCCATGTGAATCAGCCGTTTCGGTGTACCGACAACAGTGACAACAGATCGAGAAAGACAATTTAAAAGTCACCTATTTCGCAAGATGTCAGGCTTCCTCGGTGTACACCAGATCAAAACAACGGCATACCACCCTTCGTCCAATGGTCTCGTGGAGCGATTCCACCGACAAATGAAAGCTGCCATTTGAGCGCACGGCTTATCAAGCTCCTGAACCGAAGTCCTACCACCAGTGCTTCTGGACATCCGCACCTCCCTGCGTGATGAACTAAAATGCAGCGCCGCTGAATTGGTGTACGGCTCTACCCTTCGATTACCACTCATAGTTTATGCTGATTGGAGATTAAGTTTTAGCAAAGGCTGATATCGGCAAGCTGCGACGGAGGCCCTATCCCCTACTCTTCGGTAAGCCTTTTTGGACGAGCCTTTACCGACGCCCAAGATCTGTGTCTGAACGGTGGGTCTGAAGTCATCTCGGCATACTCAGTCAGAAAGAAAGCAAACATATAACAAATCTTATGGCCATTAACAACCGTCAAATGCGCTTGAAATCCTTTACTTTGTTTGGCGCACTGCATAGGTGTTCACGCCCGTACACGTGAAGTTCGCCGAACGGTGCTACATTCTTCACGCAAGTCCTTGACGGTTGCATACTTCAAAACGGTTTGTATGTGCGAACGGGCCTATATGATTCCACGATAAGTTCAAACGGATATGCGATTTCGAATCAGTAGAATGCAAGCGGATGGGGACTGCACTTTGTGCAGTGCTGGGGGTCAGTACAGCTATAAAAAATGAGAAGTGTGTTCGATTTTCGCTTTTCAATGGCGTCTCCGAGTTTCATCTCGAGTACTTAGGCGCATTGAGAGAAACAGAATTGCAAGGACGTATATTTCGTCAATGGACGCACAAAAAGAGTAAGAAACTTGCTGACCAGCAACACCAATGTAAAGGTGCGAGTTGGTGTACGCGTGCTTATTCGTTGTTTTTGCGTGTTGACCCGTACACAAGTAAGATCCTCGAGCTTCGCAGCATCGATATTTCCAGCACTGGCTCGTCCACATACTTCGAAACGCTAACGGAAAGGTTCGAGTACAAAAATACAAGCATGTGACAAGATAAACTTTACACATATTTCGCGCTTGCGCTGAAGCTTCGAAGACTGCCCATTTAGATTAGATCCAAAAACGATGCGCTCTGTGTGAGAAAACAGAAGATAACGACTGTTTATTGTCCGCTCTCTGTGTATGATTTCTTGTCGACGTGTCGATCGAAACCGAAATCGTACCACTCTCCTTCCGGACCAAATAGTTCGCAGAGTGTAATGCGCGCAGTGTTGCATGCAGGGATTTATGGAAGTAGCAAATATTAGAGGGAAAAATCCACTTTTTTTCACGAAATTCAAATGCCGAAGTATAATGTGAGCTTTGTTTCCTTTCTGCGTACACTTAATATATGCGAACGGAAAACAACTACATATAAATTAACAAGGACTGGCGGCTGCACCTCTAAAGCATTATCGTAAAGATGCACTGAGATTGGAACCGCTGGAACTATGTCCAGTCAATGGCCACAGGCGTCTGGTATAGGGCGGTTTCACATCACGCACTTCCGGTACGAACTCTCACAAAGACAATGTTTCCCATGTCGCTCGCATTATTTCGCGTCGTCATCAACTGCGCCAGTCAACTATGCTTCGTTCACCTTAATTCCTTATACGCAGCCGTCGCCACAAACTGATGGGGTCAATCATAGCCTCCTATATACTGACAAAGCCTGGTAGATCACCACGAGAAGGGGAAGCCGAAGTGATAAAGGTGGAGCGGCAGACAACGGATGAGAGGAGAGCCACGTGACTGGCGCCCCGCTGCGGCGAGATGCCGAAACCCACTTCTCCCGAGTGAACAAGTGTGTTTTGGGTCCTCGCCGCTGCACAGGCTGTGCGCTGACGTCCGGGTTCCCCGAGAAATGGCTCTTTGATGCTCTGTGCTACCAGATCCTCGCGTTCCAAATCTGCGACCGGGCACTCTATGGCTCCGTCGTCGAAATGCCAAACTTTGTGAGTATAGAGGAGGGTATGGGCCAATCATACAGCATAAAATGCGCGCCATCATGATGTTTGTCATGTTTCTTTACGCGTTATATCATCGCCGAACACTATAAACAGAAAATGCCTAGTGACTTGTGCTTTGAATGCTGCCGAATGGTCCTATTACCTCGTAGCGTCGGCTGTGTTTGGATTTAAGCTGAGAAAAAGTATAGAGCAGTTGGGAGCACAAAGAAGCAGCGTCTGGGACCCGATTTCTGTACATAAAAGCATTCGTTCGAACCTAAGACAAGCCACCAATTGAGAAGTCGGCCCGTTGGCGGCCGAAAAAGCCCCGGCAGTCGCGGCTGGCCGGCACTGAAAAGGAAACAAATTCGGAGATAGCCATGGGTTCAGGCAGCCTGGTCCCGGATCGTACTTGCCGAGTTCTGTCGTCAGCGAAGCCACTCGCCATGCTTTTGCGTTTCACCAATACCAAGAACGACGCCAATAACTAAACGTCTGCATTCAAACAAAGTAAAGTGTCAAACACTGAGTCATCGGCATTGTCAAGCGCGGCTACCGTTAGTCAAAAGTCGTTTAGTGAAGCCTTCTTGGACCCAAGTCCAAAAGAACTCTGCGTTATGTCATTTAGATCATGGTGTGCGAAACACACTCGTCTCTCTTGGCCAAGAATTGTCCAAAATTATTTGCTTAATACTGTGGATAGGGGAAAGCCGAGTGACTCGCACAAAATGTGCTCAACTGATCAGAACCCAGAAAGAAGTGCTACACGAACAAATGAATCTCACTCACTTTATTTCATATTTTATACGGCGATAGAGCTGGCCTGTGTTGCGGCTACTTCGAGATTGTCAACCTGAACAAGAAAGACAAAGCAAAACTACTTAAAGCTGGAGCTGAAGTGAAGGCATCCAGTCTCGCGCAAGTGAGTGCCAACTTCGTACACACAGGGAGCAGCACAGTTACCCGCTGGTGCATTAACCACGTGGTAGTTTATCGTATCGTCATATGCAGCATTGCACTTTATAAAGACCATAAAGGCGCTAACTCCAGTCTCAGCCTTCTAGGCACGAGACGCCGCGATAGCGTTGCCACGTCATCCATTTGTGGATTTTTTAGATACTTTTGCTGATGGAAAAGTCTTCTCGAAGCTTTTCTGAGTTGCCTCTCCTGCCCTTCTGTTTTTTTATCTTTTTTTTACAGTTGCCATGTGTAGTTGGCGGAGCTTGAGTTTCAGGTTTTTATGCAGCCGGCTAAATTTCTTCGGCCGTTATTAATAAAAATTCACCTTTTTACCCCTAAATCTTAGTTAGCTTCAGCAGAATTAATAAAAGATAAACTCATCTTCAAGGCTAAGGGGTTGAATCTGATACAATTCATCTACAGTGTATAATCGATACTTATAATAAAAAAGAAAAAATGCGAGTGTTCTATTGCCTAGGCCTCCAAGACGAAAGGTCAATTTTATGTATAACGCCTAGGCCGTTGGCAGCCGAGGCCACTCGTGTGTCGGTTCAAACATGTATGTTATCATCTTACATGTTCAAACGTACATTTGCAAACCAGGCTCTTAAATACATGTACTTCTCGGAGTCTTCTTTCAGGCGCGACCTCGAAAGATGCTTATGAAGCACGCAACCTAATTACGCCTAAGTGTCTCTTGCGACGTAACTGTTGCGCTTCGTTTTGTGACACTTATTTTTGTGACATACACCTCCAAAGGCTAAAGCAAATACCTTCTCTTTTTTTTTTTTTTTTTTTTTTTGGAGGGGAGGATGGGTGTTTGTTTTAATTAATTTTGGTTCTTCTCACTAGGTGGCCCTCGACTGCCTCGTAAAACCTCCCAAGCCTGGTGAACCTTCCTACGATCTATATCGCGAGGTAAATATCGAGACCCTGTCTGATTCGTAACAGCGCGAGTTGCTGTTTCGATTGATTTAGGAGTTCTTGAGAGTCAAACGTGTTTACTGTTTTGTGTCTCTCGTGCCGGCGACTCAATTCTTAAAGGAAAAGCGTATGACCCTAGAGGCCCTGAAGGAAAAAGCCGAGCTGGTGCACGACAGATTAAACAGCATCGAAGGGTTCTACTGCAGCCCGCTTCAGGGAGCAATGGCTGCCTTTCCAAGAGTGTCACTACCCCAAAGAGCTATCGACAAAGCAAAGGTATACTTTATGCTTGAAATAACCTCGCAGCGTCTAGCAGAGCACATTTAAACGTAATGAATACGACAGTTATTATATGTAAGGAACTTATTTTATGCACTTCGTTTGATGGATGGCGACAGCTGGATTTTTTGTTTATAAGCTCGGCAATGGAATTGTAGACTCGTCTGTCTTTTGAACTTTGTTTGTTTTCACATCCCATTGCCTGCTAACCGTAATCATAGCTTTTTCTATCTACGTGCCATTTTACTACGTCTCCTATCATAGGAATGCAACTTGAATTTATCAAGTATGATTGTTATCTGCTTCAAATATTTTGTGATGTAACCTTTTGTCATAATGCCGGTTACAGTTGCGCAGTTAGATTTGACTTTTCAGGGGTTTTTTTTGTTTTTGTTTTGTGCAACATAGGAGGCCATGAGCTGTTTGTGGACACGTCAGACAAAGATTTATTTTTTGTTATGATTATTAATAATTTTATTATTATTATTATTATTAATATTATTGCCCTGTTAGTAAGAGGTGCTTAAAGAATGCCTGGAGCCGAGATAAACTTGGAACACCGTCCTTTATCTCGCTCGTGCTCTGAACTCTTCTTTATCTACCTCTACACGCGCGTTTCCAATCCGGTGCTTCTGTATATGACACCTCCCCCTTTCAAAGCACCGGTGGCCGCGATACCCTGCCGCCCCACGTTATTGTTGCGAAGGCGTCGGTGGTTTGTTGTCTGACTGTTAGGCGGTCCACATCAAAAGTCGCGAGCTGCAGATGATGCCTTGTGCGTCTCACTGTATCCTACTTTGTTTCCGCCGTGTACGATCGCGGCAGCCCTGCATGATGGTGTGCCATCCCTTGAAAGGCTGCGTCCACGCGTATCCCCACCGCTGAGTATGGGTGTAGCGTTCTGTAATCTCTAGTAAGGTGGCGTAGATTGTAGCGCGAGGCTTTCCTAGTTTTTCGTTCGCCCTACTGCTTCCGATACCTGCGGACGTGATGCCACTGAAGCTTCAGTGTGTTTGGCGAAGTCGGAACTGTTGAACGTAACTTCCTCCCCCTCAGGAGTTCTGAAGGGGAGCGGCCTTTTAGTCCTGGAGTGGTACGGTAGGCCATAAGAGGTAGCGTTGAGGTGAGTTTCTCAGCAGATTCTCGGCTGTTGCTACCGCTCACTCTGCTTTTCCGTTACTTTGAGGGTATCAGAGACTTGAAGTCATCAGTTTGACTCCCGGGCCCACTCGTTCCCTAACTGCCAGAAGTCAATCGATCCTAATGCAGGCTCATTGTCAGAGCGTAGTATTTCCGGACAGCCATGTCTCGCAAATATCTGGTTGAACACTTTAGTTATACGTTTTCTGGCTATTCTTGAACGTTGTTCCAACTCTATAGTTACTTTGAGTAATAGTTGATGACGGCTATGTACTTTTTCCCGCTAAGCTCGAAAAGGTACGTTTTGATTTCCTACCACGGAAAATCGGGTAGCTGAAAGAGAGACTCTGTGGGTGGTTGTTGATACTGAGCACGTGTAGGACATCGGCTGACATAGTCCTGTATCTGCGTGCTGGTGCAGGGCCACCACATGGAATCTCTTGCTCGTGCTCGCCAAACCCCCTGATGTCCACTCTGAAGCCGTTCCAGGACTTCTTTAGTGATTCAGTGAGGTGACTAGTCTATCGTTGCGAATTAGTGGCCCTTGGTCTAAGGTCTGCAGAAAAACTAGCAATCCTCTTCAAGTCCGTCAGGAGCGTTTCCCTCGCAGGTCACTGTTTTTCGCAGTATGTCATTACCGTTGAAATGCATGGATCCCTCTTCTGTTCGGACGTCAGTCTGTCCGAAAATAAGGTGGACGCCGGGATCAGGTCAATCTTAAGCATTTCGTGCCCTCGGACTAAAGCTTCCGTAGAGTCTGTCAGTTGTCCTGTTGTTGGTAAAGGTTTCCTGGACAGAACATCTGCTCAGTACATGCCTGGTACGCGTGACATCATAAAAATCGTAATTGGAAATTTACATTCAAAACCACTGCAGTCTTATGATCATCTCACCAAGACGTTTGGTGGTCAACAGCGGTACCAATCGCTTGTGGTCTGTTCCCAAAGAAATCCCTGGCCTACCGAGTCGGCGCAAAATTGTTCACGAGCCGAAACGATCGCCAAGGTTTCTTTTTCTACTTGTGTGTATTTGAGCTCCGTTGGAGTCATATCATTTGAAGTGTACACTACTGTATGTCTGATGCCGTCCTCTTCCTCCAGTAGCTGCACAGCTCCAAGTCCCTACGATGAAACATCGACCGATTGGGTCGGTGCGCGTTTAGGTTATAGAATGCGAGGATTGGACCCTTGCATAATTGTTCTTTGACCAATTGATATGACCGTTCTTGGGGTTCACTTTAGAGCCATCTCTAATTTCCATGCAGAAGATCGTGAAGTTGGTTTCCTCCGTTATGTTCGGTAGAAACTTCTCTTTGGTTGTTCACCATTCCGAATAATGACCGCAGCTATGCCAAGTTCTCAGGAGCCTTCATACTCACGATTGCTTGTGTGTGTGTGTATTTTTTTTTTTTTTTTGGGGGGAGGGGGGGGGGGGGGCTTTGTTGCAATGCCTCTTCCAAGATTTTGCCTATACTTCGTTTCAGCTTCGGTCCAGACGCAGCCAAAGCTACAAGCGCGAGCTCCGGGCTTTCAGCATCCCTGCCAAGCACGCGCGCTCGTGTAGTGCAAGCACTGTTCTGGGCCACATGCTCGCGCTTGTAGCATCGACTGCGTCTGGACCGAAGCTGAAACGAAGTATAGAAACTTTACCCTCTTTTTGCCGGACTCGCACTTGTTCGTGTGCAGCGTCACCCCGGCGCTGTGGAAGCGGCGGAGTACCAGATCGAGATTTCGGTCATGTTCAAGTGTGTCCCGTCTGAAAATTAAAATACCTATGTGACAGACTTGGCCCGAGACTTCGAGCTTCTAGGATCCACAGCATTGTGCGCTTAAAGAATTCTGGCGTTGTTTCATTACCAAACAAGGGTCTCTTGAGCGTGAAGCATCCCGCTGGTGCGATGAACGTCGGCAGCTGCAGCCTTGACTGGAACCAGTGGCGCCTGCCAGTAGCCTGCATTCGCATTGAGCTACTGACGACTGTCACTCCTGCCTGTTGTGCAAGGTTTTTAACGACTGTGAACATTATGATCCAGTCCAGCACGATATGCTGGTTCAACTCTGTGTAGCCCACACAAATCCGAAGAGAATCGTCCTCACTTTTGACTACTACCATTGGTGAGCCTCAGATTGTGGCGTGATGTACTTTCACGGTGACACCTATGTCTTGCATCCGTTGCAATTCCTGTTTCACGCTGGGTAATGAAGTAAACTGAAGAAAGGAGCCATGGGCATGGTGTCTGTCTGCCAACAGACGGAACGTTTGTTCGACGCTGCCGATTCCTTTTATCGGCTCGGACAATCTTGATTAATCGGCCGTGAAAAGTTTATAAAGAAAACAAAACTGCTTCGTCAGCCACGAGAGCCGCAGTGCAGCTGCAGCGTCACTCGCTCCCTAACACTCCTTTACCCTTGTAGGAGAGACTTGATAAGGGCAGGTGACTTCGCGTTGATCGTCGTGGAGTTTGGGGCACTGGAGCCGGGACATCGGATGTTGGTACGGCCTCGGGTGAGACAGCCTCGGAAGCGGGTGCTGGGGCGGACGGCTCAGTAGCTGTGTCACCGGGATCACGACGGCGGAGCTGATCGGCGTGGCGCCGGTGGTCTTTGACATCGTCTGGGGACTGTACTTGCACCAGGCAGGAACCATTGATCGACTTGATGATTCCGGGGCTCTACTTGTCGCTAGGACTGTAGTTTCGGAACCACACTGGCTTGTCCTGGACGAAAAGGTTTAGTTTCCGGTTGACTGCAAGATGTAGGTAATGGAGACAAGGTGGCGTCCAGACGTAAACGTATATCGTAGCCGAGTAAGCGCTGAGATGAAGAACGACCGTCGTTGCCGGGGTGCGATGACACTCACGCAGGATATGCGCTAGTCGGGTCACCATGCTGCCCTTGCTCAGCCGTTGGAGCCTTTCTTTTACCGAGCGAACAGCTCGCTCAGCGAGACCGTTCGATTGGGGGAAATAGGGAGGTGAGGAAAGGTGTCGAATATTGTTCCGCTTGCAGAATCGTTGGAACTCCGCGCTTACCAACTGGGGACCACTATTCAAAATAACTACGTGGTATTCCAAACTGGCTGAACACGGACCGTAACGCGGACGTGGTGGCTTCCACTGACGTGCACTTAGTTGAATTGCTTCGATCCACTTACTGTGGGGGTCTACAACAAGTTTATTGTAGACTCCTCGTTTGCCTCCGGACGCGGAACAGGATCTCTTGCCGGTGGGACCGGAGCAACTTGAGCACATTTCGGGCATTGACTGACCATACGCTCTAAATCTTGGTCAATTCCGGGGTACCATATAACGGACCGAGCTAACGCCTTCATGGCGGATGCGGCGCGGTAGCTTTCATGCAGGAGAACAGGTACAGTCTTCCGAGCACTTTGTGGTATCACAACTCGCGACCCCCAATACACCAACCCGTGCGAGGTGGTTAGTTCGCTTCGCCTTTCCAGGTATGGCCTCAGGGTTACTTCCCCGTTATGGTTCTTCGAAGGCCACGAGCCATTCTGAATTCATATCTGGACTTGCCTTAAGTCGTTGTCCTCAGTTGCCAGCTGCTGCAGATCCGCCGTCGAAACAAAGTTTTCATCAAGCTGCTTCAGAAAGACGCAGAGCAGCTCCTCGGTTGACGAGCCCTCTTCTGCTGGGCACAGCAGCCGACTGTGAGCATTCAGGTTCTTGGTCCCTTTTCGATTCATAAAATCATAAGAAAAAGCTCGTAGTAATAGCTGCGTCCCACTAAAGCGACAAACAGCAGCAAACGACAGCGACACATGACAACAAGTGACAGACGGCACCGACAGATGGCTGTTTGTCGGAGTCCGCCGTCCCGCCTGGCCGACACGACGCA